AGAAAAGGATAAGAAGGCCAACTCAAAGGGGTGCCAAAAAAGCCGAACGAAGAACCAAGCCCAAGAAGATAAGCCATGGTGGAGGGATAAGAGGGACTGGTCGACCTTGGATGATGCTTGCTACTCAGAGTAGTTGATATGCAAGCAATTGGTCAGCCCCAAGTGCAAGGGTTGTGGTAAGAAGCAAGTTTTTGCCTCAATTAATAAACCAATGTATCAATCAGTAGAATTATACCCCCAAAGTCGGTCCAGCAATCTTGCAAAACAGATTAAGAAGTTACTTGTGTCCCCAGTATTTGTACTGAGGTTTTCAGTATCACTAGTTTTGCTAATTGCAAGAAGTTATCATCATATAATGTGGTTGGACGTATTTTGTATTTTCGGAACAAATAGTTGCAAAAAATAAAAGTGCACCTACAAATAAATTTGCAAGTTTTTCTTACGAGGAAAATTTGGCCGGGATTATAGGTTTATAGTAGCATCTCCCTAAGCAGCGGCGACACATAAATATAAGCATATACATGGGTAACAAATGAAACAAACTATCATGAAAAAATCATAGCATGTGTTGTGATAATGTTGTATAGGTCGTATGTCCATAAACCCACTAGACCGGCTACCATCGTATCTAAAGGCTAATACTCTACACACGTGACTGACTAGCGGCGTAACACCCAAGCATTAGGTAACAAAATAGAGCATTGCATTGAGCAAGATGGCATACCAATGATAATAATATTCCCCTCCTCCCAAGCTCATTGCCGGGACAACAAGTTAGCCATATTTTTATACTTCGTAGTTAGTAAGGTGGACTGGTCTAGGTTTTTCCTCTCTTACTATAACAGAAAGTACGTGTCGAATAGATATCTACTCCGTTTAATGCACACCGCCACTTGTATTGATTTTTCATCTAAAATGGCCAATAAGTAGACTAATGAATGAGAGAGCAATATACATCGACAAGCCATCCAAATAACATGAATAATCTGGTTATAAAGTATAATGCATCACATAGAAAATAGACTCACCGCAAAAATTACATCGGATATATCACAATCATGTCAGACACGTCATATGATCATTGTATTTGAGTTATGAGAGAAGATGCTACATAGCTACTATTAAGAACTCATATTATATGGGATAGATTATTCATACCTCATATCTAAAGGCTGATCATCTACACAAGTGACTGACTAGCGATGTGACACCCAAGCATTAGGTAACAAAATAGAGCATTGTATTGAGCAAGATGGTATACCTTAATAATACTCCCCTCCTCCCAAGCTCATCACGGGGACAACAAGTCAGCCACATTTTAATACTTAGTAGTTAGTAAGGTGGATTAGTCTAGGTTTTCCCTCTCTTACTATAACCGAAAGTACATGTCGAATAGAGATCTACTCCGTTTAATGCACATCGCCACTTGTATTGATTTTTCATCTACAATGGCCAATAAGTAGACTAATGAATGAGAGACCAATGTACATCTACAGTCCATCCAAATAACATGAATAATCTGGTTATAAAGTAATTATGCATCACATAGCAAATAGACTCATCGCAAAAATTACATCGGATAGATCACAATCATGTCAAACACGTCATGTGATCATTGCATTTGAGTTATGAGACAAGATGCTATATAGCTAGTACTAAGAACTCATATTCTATGGGATAGACTACTCATACCTCATCATGGGAGCAACAAAGATC